TGGGAGAGCAGTGGAGAGCGGGTCCAAGTCTTGGGACCCTGCATCCATGCAAGAGGCCCTGAAAAAGCTATTGCCTTCCAGGTTTGGAGTAGCTCAGCTCTGGATGTCATACTATCTGGGAAGAGAACCAGAAGATGTACCTTTCTCTGTCTCTCCTTCTCTCTGTAAACCTGCCTCTCCAATAAAAATAATTAAATTGAAAAAAAAGTCACCCACTCTGGCCATGCAAATTTGTGTGGTTATCACCTCTTACTTATCTCTTCTGGTATACACAATCTGATTATTAATCCCTGCATGATTTTTATCTAAATTTCAACGTTCATTAAGAAAGTCAAAATTTTTCAAATTTTCTTTAATAATTGCTTCACATTTTATCATTTCAGCCTCAATTTCATCTTAAACATAAAAGTTATGTATACTTTTAAGACATATTATTGGACTGAATAGTACAGTATTTACAAAATGCCTCAGGCTACTGTCTAAATTACAGAAATGAAATTCCCTTCATCTATCCTAATTTTTTTAATACTATTTTGAAAAGCACTTTGTTTTCATTCTCTTGTAGTTACTTTTATGCCTTTCCAAATTTATATTAGATATCACTATGTATAAACACTAGGTACAGGCTTATCCATATAAAGACTAACACATTTAAAACTGCTACAGACAATTGCATAAATAAAATCATATAACAGTATATATATGTGTGTACATGTATGTATATTTATATTTATATAGGTATGTATATTTACACACATATATATATTTATACACATGTATATATTTATATACATATATGTATATATAATCAGATGCAATATTAAAGATATAAAGTGCTTTGAGGCCTAAAGTAACAATATAAAACAGTTACATACATTAATAGCTATCAAAATGGTAATCAAGAAAATGAATAGGTGTAGAAAGGATGAACTTCTTCAATGGGAAAACAACATTCCAGCTGAAACATTAAAGCTGAAATGAACAATATGATGTGGGTGTCACGGGGAAGGAAATGTCCATCCAAAATGAACAATAGCATCCAAGATTTATTTAGGTAAAAGCACAGGATACATCTGGGCAATGACAAGTATTAGGGCCAAGAAGGCAAAGTGCACTAGGCCAGAGCCATTTGTAATAAAATTATTTGTATACTGTAAAGTTTAAACAAATAGTACATATTTAAATAATAGTGTCCTAAGAAAATAAACAAGACATGTCAGCATTATGGGGAAGAAAACCAATCAACATCAATGGTCATGATCCATTATCATTAATTTATACTGATTACTATTGGCACATTTTATTTCTATATTTTAATTTACCGTTTCTGGGAAATTATAAATAATTTGGAAAATTATAAAAATAGTTTGCAGGTCAAACAAAATCATCAACTTAAATTAGCCTGATATAGATTCACTTAATTTCAAGTCTTGCCTGCAGTTACCTTGGTAGCATCAGATTATGATTCCACCAACTTTACACAGTTCACAGGCTGAATACTGTACACATATGAATAGTTACCGATGGAATATATCCTGAAGCATAAATGAATCAAGTAAAGCTGCTGAGATCTTGTAAAGTTTAGTGTCCATCAAATTAACATGAAGTAACTGATATAATATACAAAGCCTTCCTTTTCTCTTTTCATTTCTTCCTGTGTTTAGCAAAGATTTATTGACATTGTGTTTTTAAGTACAATAATGGATAAGAAAAAGAAACTACTCCACAACACTTCACAGCAGTGCGGAGAATTAGACACTGTGTTGGAATGTGAGACAGAAATGTCAATGAAATGCACTATTCACTTTATATACCAACCTGATATTTTAGTAATTTTTATTTAAAATCTATACTATTTCACTAACAGATTTACAAAGCTTATGTGTATAAAATATGTCTATTTGAATGTCTAACAAATATTAAAAAAATAAAAGATTACAGCAGTTCCTAATCTCCCTCCAACCCTTTCCTCTCCCATTCTTCTCATTTCAAACTCCCAGTATATCAGAATCTTCTTTGACCCTGTTCTTTCATTCATAGCTTGTATTCAATCTTATACTGAGTTCTGTTAGATGCCCCAAAGGTGGCAGGTGAAGTCCTCAGGCCACGCGCTTTTGTGCTTTGGGAACTTGGTTGTGTGCGGTTCCAGAGAGTCTGGGACAGTGAGGATGAGCAGTGACCAGAGAGTTCCTGTCCAGATGAAGAATGACTTCTCTGGGACTTCCATAGACAAGGCCACACTCGGGCCTACAACATAGAACCCACCAGAGTGTCATAAAAGGGAATGGATACTGTGAGGCTGGGCCACAAAGCTGATAAATACATGAGTGGATCAAGTCCTTGGGTAGAATCTGCAGGGGAATATGTGTGCTCAGGCATTGGAACTGCAATCTCTTGGAACGTGCAAAAATTGTGGCTGGAAATTGGCCTAGCTGGGGAGCTAAAAGGACACCCTGACTGGGCTGGAATTCCTACTGTTGAATGCGTGAGCCAGAATCAGGCCATTGTGCTGAGCTGATCACGCTGCAATCTCCTTTGGCGGAAGCGCGGCTAGACTTCAGCATCCACTGGTATCCATGAGAACCAGGATGGGTGTAGAGCAGGCTGGGCTAGGTCTCAGCTCTTGCTGAACCATGTGAGAGCTGTGTCTAGGCCACAGTAAGAACTGAAAAGGGTATGGGCCAGGTGGGTAAGGACACCATTCCTACAAGGACAAGAGGTACACACTAAGTCAGCCTGGGCGAAGGACCCATTGATGTGCACAAGATCTGCTACTGGGAGGAGACTGGATAGAGGAGTTTGGTGAATTCATTTGTCAAGTTGCAGTCTCTGCAGGTAAACACAAGAACCAAGGCAAGGATCAGCCCAAACCAGACCAGGTTACAGTCCCTACCAGCATACATATGGGACAGGTCAGAAAGTGGGTTAGGCCCGGCCAGTTCATAACCTCCACTGGTATATCCGAGAACCAGGAGGGGGCGAGTTGGGCCACAACACCCAGCCAGTTCACACTGGGACCAGGACTGGAGGCTGACTGGGAAAGTCTAGGCTGTAGCATCAATCAGTAAAGATGGAACTGGTGCTAGTTGGATCAAACTAGGGTTAAGAACACACTGGTAAATGCTGAGGAGAGATGATACATGCCAATCTGGGGGCAGTGGGTGCAGGGTCTGTGAGCCCCAGGGGTGGGGAGTTCAGCAGGTACCTGGTCGCATGGCCAGGGATGTTGGGACCACCTAAGAGGGGTTCCAGAGGGGCATGTGTCTCCTTGCCTAGGTCCTAGGGCCCACATGCATGGCAGGTATCAGGATCTTGAGCCCCAGGAGTGAGGAGTTCAGTGGGGCCTGGGCTGTATGGCCCAGAACTTTTAGCTTGCCTGCACAATGGGTGAGGGATCCGTGAGTCCTGGGGGGCGGGGATATCCAGAGAAGCCTGGGTCTCCTGGCCCTGGTCACTTGGCCCATCTGCGTGGTAAGTGCCAGGTCTGTGAGCCCTGGGGGGTGGAGGATCTGGAAGGCCTTGTGTCTTCTGGTCCGGTTCCCCAACCCCCCGACACAGTAGGAACTGGATCCAAGAGCCTCAGAGGTGGGAATATGGAGGAGCCTGGGTCGCATGGCCGAGGGACATGGGCCCACCTGTGTGGTAGGTGCCAGGTCCGTCAACAGCAGGGGTAGGAATCTAGCATGACCCAGATCACCTGACTAAGGTCCATGAGCCCACCTATGAGAACTGGTCCTCCTCAGTGTAAAGGATGAAGTGCTGGATGGCAAACCATGGTGCACATAGAGGACATGTTAGCCCATTAGGGCCTACAGAGAACATCTAATATCATAGCAGAGAGGGGAGAACAGAACATATGGACAACTACCCCAGCCAAATGGTGACAGCAAATATCTGGGCAAATGGAGACTCTAAGGTCTACCATGTCAACTAATGGACACTGGAAGGGAATGCTCATCCCTAAATCAATGAGACTGACAGCATTTCTGAACTATTGTATCCACCTGGCCAGAACTCTCGGAGCAATGCCACATTGTGACCCTGGGTTGATATTGGGTGCTTTTTACCATCCTTCAGTGCTGGGATGGCAGGAAGACTGGGTATGACCTATCCCCTTATTGCTCTCTTCCTCCTAGAAATGGGAAAAAGAAATTGAAAGTTTGGAAACAATGATCACACCCACTTCTCTCTAGCCCTAGATTCTTCCCATCCTGATAGACTATGTAAGCATCATCTAAAATACTAATAATAAAAAATAATAAAAGCCATTTCTAATTAGAGATCTCACCAAGAGTTTGACACAATACATTACCAAGTAGTTTTGATGGCCAAAACAAACAAAAAAAGACTGCAGATAGATACAATCAGGTAAATTTAAGATGGATGCATTAGGAACACAGAATTGAAACAATTTAGTATCTGGGAAAGAAATGTGAACTTAAAACAAAGACAATGATGACTTCTCAATTTTTGACTGCAATGATTAGCAGATGAATATACTCCCTGCCAAAGAGGAAATGAAGGATGCCAGTGTATGACAATAAAATCTGAACAGGTCAGGTTCCTGCTGGAGATAATGAGTTTGAAATGTTCTATGGCAAATTCAGTTGATACTTACATAATTAGTCAGCCAGAAATATGAGAACGCGGCTAACATATATTTGTGCAGAAGATGTAAATTTTGAAGACATTAATACACAAATGATTAGTAAAATAATGTAAACATAAGAGTGGGAGACATTGCCTCAAAGAAAAGCATAAATTTTAATGGGTAGAAAAAACCAAAGCTCAAGAATCAATTCCAGTTACACAGTTACAAGAAACTTAGACACATGAAAATAGAAGTGACTGAATGACATTTTCAACATACATAGCACCGTGTGAGAGATGTTTTTTTTTTCCACTTTAAAGTTCTTTAATGACCTGATTATGCATCCTCATGAAACAGTACCTATTTGCACAGTGAGCATTTTTCAAGCTTCAGAATGTTTAAAATGTACCTGTATATTCCACTGAGGGGAAGTAACATTCTGATGGGCTTTCAGTGAGATGAAGCACAAATTTTCCAAGTAATTCTACTAACACTGCAATAAACAAGAGAAAAATTAGGAAATCAAAGGTCAGGAATAGTACATAATAATATACTCCAAATTGCATAGCAGCACATAAAAGTCATTTGAGCTTCTTCCGCTATATTTTATGGGGGAATCAATTCAAAATGTGCATGGCTTTAGCATTCATAACAACATAGGAGATTTAAATTAAAATTTAATAGCTTAGCTCTAAACCTATTCAATGTGAAACTGAAAAAGAATCATCTGTTATCTTTAGACCCTCTAAGGATTATTTCAGAATTTGCTAAATGGTTTCAATACAGACAGAAAATTAGCACCAATTAGGTTGTAATATCTCACCATCACAATTGGCATACATGAGTATAAAGGAAAAATCAGTGGACTCCGAGATACCACACCATTCATGCCCCGTTCAAATCAGACACTGTATGCTTTATATACTACATCTTTTATAACTTTGCAACCGAAGACATCTGTTCAAAGTAGCCATATCAAAAAGTAAGCTTGCCCTACATGGCTGAGAGTGACAAATGCTTCCGTTTAAGCTGGATAATGTTTCTGCATTTGTACATATTTCCCCCAGGATGGACATAACAAGGTAGACTTTAATTAATATGAAATTTAAGTTTTTTTCCTAAACAAGAATACATCACTAACATGCTTACTCATAAGCAAAAGAGTTTTCGCTACCATTTAAAATTATGTCTGAAATACATTAACCATAACAGTGACTTAGCTTAATTAAAAGGATCCGATTTCATATCAGAATATATTTTAAGCATATATTCGCTTAGACTTGCTCTATCCTTAGTTGTATAAGGCAAAAATTCTACTATAGTTACAACAATCTGATAAAGTATATCACAGGTCTTTCATCACTGAATCACTATGTAAATCCTGGGCCTCAGGCTAGAGCTCTTTGTAGTCAAGCTTTACAGACATGCAGCAAGAGACTCTTCACAGAACTGAAAAGTTTCTCACACATTTGTGATCGAGCTACTCAAAAGAGGATCTCACAGGTAAGGCACTGAGTTAATATCACACTATTTAAGGCACACTATTTCTAACCTTGAAATCTGAACTTACCACATTAGATCAAAATGTTATAGAGGCTCACCAAAACAGTATATGTTTCATATGCAAAAACTAATGGAAATTACTGGCCTTTCTTCTTTTAATTCTGGGGTAGGAATATGAGATTTGAGGACTACAATGCCACAATTTGCAACGTTTGTAACTTTTTACTGAAAAGAAACTGAAGGCAGTTTGTTCAAGGATATTTAAGTAATTACTACTCCCTTGGTATTCTGCACATACTATGGTACAAAGGAAGAAAATGCCTTTCCTCTTGCCTTCCTCCTTCTGGATTTACACTTTTTGCACTACCTACAGGAGACACATTTCACCAACAAAAATTAGTGGAAGCTATATCTTATGGATTTTGATTTCTTTGTTGTTACTTTCATCTCTTCAAAACACTTTCTTCTGATTAAATTCTTCAACGACTCACAGATCATACAGTAGCATCATTTTCTTCAAGAAGGTTCTTGCCTTTCTTTTACATTTCTTCAGCAACACATCAATCATTCAGTAGCATGTTATTTAACTTCATGGTGTTGTGAACTTCTTTTTTTTCTGTTGTTGATCTTGTGGCTTTTTCATTTAAGGGGATGTATAGTAGTTGTGTAATGGAGACTGTCATATCTAGTAACATATTATTCAACTTCATGGCATTGTAAATTTCAATTTTTCTTCCTATTATTTATTTTATACTGTGGCTTTTCATTTAAGGGGATGTACAGTAACTGAAATTAAGACTAGCATATCCAGATGTGAAGATACAATGTAATATGCATTTCTACTTCCAGACAAAGGTGGACTTACAATGAAACTGTTTACTATATGACAATAGGATGCTGGACTCTGCCATTTTCCATGCGTGCAATGATGGACATATGACTGTGTATGAATAACTATACTTTAGTAATGATATAGAGGAACTAGGTGGGGGGAGTGAAATTCTGGAGGGAATAAAGGAAATACCAGGAGCCTATGGAACTGCAGATGATGATGATGATTACAATAATAATAATAATAATTAAAAAAGAAAAAAAAAAGAAGTTAACTGGTAAACTGATAAAATGAAGCAAACTATTACCTAGGCAAAAGCAGATCAGTGTCCCAGTTCTCATACCAAATACACTATGACAGCTTTAGAGTTTGTGGTTTCAGAATCACAGATTTCATAGAAGTTAGTGAACTCTTGGAATCATTATTTTGTATTAATCTAGTACTATTACTTAGGAACCACAATTTCTATGAATATAATCTTCACATCAAAAGAGAAAAATAAAAATTCCACAAAGTTAAAGATGAACTTACCTTCTCCAATGAGCAGGTCAGGTTTGGCCTTCATCACTTTGCAGAATTGTCTTCGGCAGTTTTCAAACGACTCAGTTTGCTTATCAGACATTTCGAAGCATAGTAAAAGCTTGTCAACATCATCATCTAGCAAGAAAGATGACATGTTGCAACAAGACATGCAAAATATATTGGAAAATATGTGTTAAGGCTGACTATGAGAACAGTTGTACAACGCAGAAAAAGGCATATATTGCTTTCAAAGAAAAACCTGTTCTGTAATGATATCTTATACCAATAATTAATATTTAAATTTCTTAAATATATATTTTATCCTCATAAATATATATTCTATAAATATATAATATATTCTTATGAATATATTCATATAAATATATTATTTATTTAAAAGTAATATAATGTATTATGAATTTATAACTGTAATTCCTAAGAGTCTTCTGTTTAAATTTTTTAGTTTTAACTGATTACATAATTGAGAAGGATGCGTGTCTGTAAGTCTCCAATTAAGGCGGGCAAGGTCCAGGTATGAAGGATAGTGGAAGGAACAAATGTTTCAATTTTTTTCTACTGTGCAAGTAGGGGAAGGGTAGGGAACTACTCCTTACTGTCAAACTACATCAGTAATCATGGATGAGGAAGTTATTTCATAATTACTTAGAAACCGCAATGCAGGAAAGCACGTTCCTACAGTGCTATTGAGAAGTTCTGACAGTTTTGAGACATCATCTGCTTTATTGCACCAGGGTTTCCAACGTCTAGTGGCTGACCAAGTCTATCTTAGTGAATCCAGAAGCCCAGAAACATGCTGCAGAGCTTGAGCAGGAGAGTTGTTCAACCTGTTCCATCTTCCATTTTCTGATAAGGCACTCCACATTCTCTGCTGGCCCTAGATGAGCTGCTGTCATGTCCCCCATGTGCATCTGGGCATGCTGAGCAATGCACAGGCATCAGCAATGAGTAGGCCCAGTTCTGAGACATGCATTCTAAGGTCAGATCATATATCTTGTGATTTTCCCTGCCGCCAGTTTGAGACCAGCCATCTAGTTGGGGAGTCTTACAAGAAATCTCACCTGTGGTGACATCAGATTTGACTTGTGTGTGCTAGCTACTATAGGGTCAGGTTTGGTCTGTCACCTGCACTAGCCAACACACACACTGATGGATACAGCTGCCTGAAAAACTCTGCTCACAGCCCCATCTCTCATGCAAACTGATGGGTGCTGACCTAGCCCAACTCAGCACACCACAGGCCCCATCCTTAGGCACAGCAGTGGGTGCTGTAGTCTAATATGAGTGACCAAAAGTAACCCTCCAAGGCTTACTCCCAGCCCTAGATTTTACATCTGCAGGTACATGATATGACCTACCTGGCCATTCCCACATTCCATCTAGATCTTGTGCACACCCATTGAAGCTGCAGCCAAGATCAGCCAGACCATCCGTACATGTCCCAAGACCCAGCCCAAAGTATGTTGATGGATGCCACTGCATTGACCAACCCATCTTGCTCTCAGCCCTGGATTTTGTGCTCACCAGCAGGACCTGCAGCCCAGCAGGGGAATGACCGCAGTTTACCTGTCCAGCTCACTCCCAGCCCAGGATCTTGCAGCTGCCAGAGGGAATTACAGTCCAGCCTGACATGACTCACACCAATCCCATCCAATCCCAGCATTTCATTTGCAAACTAATGATGCAACCTGGTCCAGCAAGCCTGTACCCATTCTGGTTCTTGTGTGCATCACTGGGTGTGGCAGCCTAGCCAAGCCTGGACCTCTGTACGCCCCGGTCCAGTAAGCCCCATCCCCAACTCTCACACGCACCAGTGGAAGCGGAGGCCAGCAACGTAATCCCTTTAGTCCCTACCAGGCCCACTCCAAGTCCTAATCATTGAACATTATAGTAAATGTTGTGGTACAATCTAAGATGACCTTTTCCTAATCTCAGTATTCACAAGTAAGAGCTGCAGCCTAGCTCCACACAGCCTACTTCCAGCCCAAGTTGCTGCCAGTGGATGCATCAGCCAGGCTCAAACTGGCCTATCTCTAGCCCACATGTGAACTGGTATGTTTTGAATTCCAACCTGCCCCGAGCTATACCCTGTTCTGGCTCTCACTCATGCCAGTGTGTGCTGTAGAGAGGTCCAGCCTACCCCACCCCCACACCTAGTCCCCCAAAGGCCAATGAATGCTATAGCCTTGCCTATACTGGTCTATCCCCAGTCCAGGCTATTGTTCTCCCTAGTTGGACCCAGCAGAGGAGTTCCCCAGTTTCCCTACAAATCCCACTTGCCAGCCTTGGATCCATGAGAGCCTGCACATACAATGGTCCTGCTTCGCATGGTCTGTCCTCAGTCATGGCTTTTGTATGTGTTGAAGGTGCTGCAGACAGGCCCAGCCTGGCCCTTCCCAGTCCCGATTCCCACAAATGGCAGTTGAGATCCTGTCGGGTAAGTACCCTGGTGTAGCCTGGTCAGTCTATCACAAGTGCCAGCTCTCCAAGTAGAACAGCAGATTCTGCAGTCCCACAGAAGCAAACCCACAGGTCCCTATAGAATCTGTTTCCACATACAGTTTTCTCAGATTCTGATAGATGCCACAGCCCAGCATGACACAGAGCAGCAGCCCCTGCTCTGACCACTCATGGGTAATTACTATCTCCTACCCAGCCAGGCATGCCCCTCTTAGTCCCAGCTTTTGGTGTTCCAGAGGGTGGCTGGTGATGATCTTCAGCCCAGACCAGGTGTCACATATGGCTGGGTGCTTTGGTCTGACCCATATATGCTGTCCCCTACTAAACCACTCCATTTCTCTTTCCTTTTCAACTTGCAAGTACAGTGGCCTGGATAGTGAGATTCCAGAAGTCATTGCTCCCAGGTCAAACATGTCCTTAGCACTTGCCACTCCAATATATACATCCCCAGTCACTGTTCCTCAGGCAATGCAGCCCTCCCCACACCTGGGGGCTGGGGTGGCATGTCTCAACCTGGTGTTTCCAGCATTCTCTGAAGATCTTTCAAAAAGTAGAACAGGCAGCTAAGCAGGCAAATTGGTTTAGTTAACACTGATTTATCAGCATTAACCGGACCCAGAATGCATGCCAGCTATTGGCTGACTTTCTCCCAGTAGTCTAACATTTTGAATTGCGTGCTGCTTCTCAAAGTAGAAGATGAAATCCCTGTGTTAAAGACACTCCTCCTACAGTAAAAGGAAAGGTAATACCCTTATTTTGAAGAATAAGCTGCTGAAACCAAGAGCACACTGTACAGGGAGACTAAAAGACGGTGGTATAAGGTGAGAACAGGTTTTAATTGACAGAGAATAATGAGCTAGTGAGAAGCAGAGAGGACAGATTCCAGAAAATAGGACAGGATAGGCCAACCACAGGGGGGCACTTGGAGACCCACAGACAAGGGAAGCAGTGGAGACAATGCAGTGGTGTGGAAGTGACCAGATACCCCAGCAGCGGTCAGCTGTAGATGATGGGTTGTCTGTGCTTCATCGGTGACTAGGTGGGAAGGGGAGTTCATCAGGAAAGCAGGTTAATTCAGGCAAAGACCCAACCTGCTGATCTGTTGCAACTGAGCAGAAAAAATAGCAGACTTCAGGCGGCAGTGCAAAAACAGGGTGGATTTCATCCTGGGCATTGCTCAAGCCCAGACTGGGAGAAAGGCTGTGCAGGATCACAGGGGGATTAGCATTGGTGAGCCAAGAGCTGGGGCTATGGTGGCCATAGCAGAAGCCAACCACAAAACCCCAGACAATGAAAATTGGTGGAGGGAGTGGCATAAGAGATTCCAAATGAAGAACCAAGTATCAAATGCAATCAGTAAAATCAACCTGTAGACCTGTGAACAACAAAGCTGTCCCAAGGAGAATTTGCTAACCAGAAGAATAATGATCAGAAGCAAAACAAGATACAGAGGCACAATGAATATTACTGATGACTGCCCTGCAAAGGAACACAAGATTTACCAATTTCAGAGTTCATTGAAGAATGCATTGAGAAAATGGGGGGTAAAGAATAAAACAAAACATGCTATAAAGCTTCTTATCAATAAAGAAAAGGGCATACAGAAGTTCAAGCAATTTAAGGAACATGTTATATAGAAAATAGTAGTAAAAGAATCAAACGAAAGCTGATATGTGATAAATTAAGGATACAGTGGAGCAAATTAAAAATTCAGCAGAAAGCTTAAATAACAGAATGAGTGAGGCAGAAGAAAGAATCTCAGAATTAAAGGTACTTGTCACAATGGGGAAACAATCAAAACCTGGAAGAGGAACGGACTAAAGCAAGTAAAGTATTCAAGAATTAAGAGACACTACTAAAAGGCCAAACAGAAGAGTTACAGGAGTTACAGTTAACAAATGAAAACTACCCTAATACGAAGAGAAAATTGGGAAACAACATACAGGAGGAGCACAGAACCCCCAAGAGGATTGACCAAAAGTGATCTTCACCACAACACGTGATAATCATGCTCTCTTTAGTCAAACACAACAAAAGATCCTTAAATGTGCATGTGAAAAAAAATCCATTAACATATGGAGGAGCCCCAATCAGACTCACAGGAGACCTCTTACAGGAAACTCTACAGGTCAGAAGAGAATGGAGAGACATATTCCAGATTTTAAAGGGAAAAAAATCATCAGCGCAGAATAATGTATTCCCAACAAAGCTTTCCTTTGTCTTTGAAAATGAAAAAAAAATCTTTCACAGTAAAGAAAAGCTCATAGAATTCACCTCTTCCAGACCTGATCCATAAGTTATATTTAAAGATGTTCTTTAAGGAGGAAGCTCTTTAAGGAGGATGTTCTTTAGATGTTCTAAAAGGAGGAAGAAGATATTGAACAATAGCATCAGAGAAAACAAAACAAAACAAAAAAAACAACAGACACCTCAGACATGCATAGAATTATTAGCAACTGTAATAAGCAACTATATGCCAACAAATCAGAAGACATAGAAAAAAACAGATGGGTTTTGGATACATGCAATCTAGGAAAATTAAATCATGAGGCAATTAATAATTTAAATAGATCTATAACAAGGACTGAGATTGAATCAGTAATTAAATCCCTCCCAACCAAGAAAAGGCCTGGACCAGATGGCTTCACTGCAGAATT